TGAATCATAGTTGTGTTATTGCAATTGAACCTCTGAAATAAACTATAATGCAATATTAAGATCTAAAGTAGCATTGTATTCATGATGGGATCAATATATTCGACTAACCGTTAATTATTTTTAGTTATCATGATGATTTTAGATGGGTCCAAGAAAAGAATCGCATGGTGCTTCATCATCCAGAGCTTCTGGGAAGAGACCCAGAAATGAGACTGAAGGTATCCAGGTAGATAGAAGCAGATTTAGGGATGCTGAGAGGTAGAAAAGATTTGAAAGAATTAGAAACTGGACCTTCATTCCGGAAAGGGGAGTGGAGCTGAATGAAGGAGAATTTCTAGAGTTTAACAATGAGATCAAACGCAGGAATTGGAGGCAATTGGCGCTCCCAATGCCAAAGTACGATCCTGAAATAGTCAAGGAGTTCTACGCCAATGCTTGTGTGGTAGAAGGAGAGCCATTCCGGTCTCGTTCAAAAGTGAGGGGTCGTTGGGTTCCTTATGATCGAGATGCGATCAACAATCTGATGGGTAATCCTCTTTTTCTGGAAGAAGGTCACATTTGCGATTACCAAACCATCTGAAACAGTAGGCGGTTAAGTGCAATGCATTTTAAAGATGTTGACATAGCGAGGGCCCTATGCTTACCTGCGAGAACCTTTGAAGCAAATCATGTTGGAAAAACATTAAGAATATTGAGGGCCAACATGACTACTCTGACTCAGATCTGGACTTTATTCCTACTGGCTAACATAGTCCACATCAAGCACAGTTCATATCTAAACATGCAAAGATGTCACATTATCAAGTGCATTCTTGATGAGACTATGATAGATGTCACCGCAATTATCTCCGAGGAGATTTATCAATTTGTATTGCTAGAAAGCGAGCGATGAGTTGAGAAAGCCAAGGCTCTTGGATTTCCATCCCTCATCACTGCTTTATGTGCAGCTCATGGTGTGGATATAAACCCATCATTGAACATTTGGCCGCCCATCAACAGAAGATTCATAGAGTGGAATTGTGTAAATCCTGTAGAATGGGCACCACCACCACTGGCACAAGAACCACACCAACCACAACAAGCCCAACAACCACCTCCACCACCTCAGCAACCAGATTTTCAAAGAATGATGCAGTATATGGAGCATTTATCATTGCAATAGTCAGTGACCCATAGGGGTCAATGCAGTATTAACACAAATTTTTATACTCTATCTTTGCAAATTGCTCTAGGTATACAGTGGACGTTTCCACAAGAATTTGATGCCTTACTTTAATGGCCTTAGGACAGTCCAAATTTTCAGGAAGGGGGTGAAGGTGCAGCTGAAGCACAACAAGAGGAGGAGGAAACTTCAGAAGAAGAAGAAGAAGAAGAAGAAGAAGAAGAAGAAGAAGAAGAAGAAGAAGAAGAAGAAGAAGAAGAAGAAGAAGAAGTAGAAGAAGTAGAAAGTGAAGAAGAATAAGAGGGAGGAAAAAATTAATTTAAGTTAAAAAAATTTGTTTTGATGTGTTTAAGTTAGTCTTGTTAATTTGATGATTTGAAGTTCTTTGTTTTTAATTTGTTTGGTTTTAATGTTTCGAATTGACATCTGAAACTTAATGTGGTTAATGTTTTAAATTGATGTGATTAAATTTAATCGTTGTCCCATACAATTTGGATTAGATCCATTTATGAAATTATTGCTTATTGTCTAATTCAAATCTAGAACTTGAAGAATACCATTTTGATTGTTTCCAATAACAAGTGATTTTGGGATGTTGAGTATGATAGTGAAAAAGGAATTGACGGGGAGAACTAGGAATTAACTGAATTGGAGAAGCTAGCCAAAACCCAAGCGAGGAGTGAACCAAAAATAGATAAATTGAGTGTCAACACTTTATGATGATAACTGGTATTGATTGATTCTTTGATGTGATTCCATGTTAGCGAGACTTGAAAATGATAAAGTTATTTTTTTTCTTGTGTAGTAGATATAACCCAGAGCCAAATAGTCAACCCTGCATTAATTATAGGACATCCATTTGAACCCCATTTGAGCCAAAAACAATATTGTTTATTAAACAAAACCCCTGAGCCTAAACAATATTTATCCACCTTCCTATATTTGAGAAATGAAATGATTATGAATGTTATCATTTTTCCTATGGGTATTGTTGGGTATTGCTATAGTCTTCCTAAGGGTATTGTTGGGTATTATTATACTTATGAAAAAAAAGGGTGTTAAGAAAAAGGAAAAGAAAAGCATAAATATTGTGGATAAGCTGAAATGATAAATGCAAAGCATGAGAAAAGGAAAAAGAAATTCAAAGGGGGGGGGGTGAATGATAACTTGTGAGATTGTTAACGCACTATCATTGTGTTGGAGCAAAAGCATGAAGTTGAGACCCGACTTGAGGAAATGTTAAACAAGAATCATTCATATGAATTGAATTTCTCAAATACATTTGAATATCCCAGAAAAACCAATGATTTTTTCTTAACCCAACCCCATTACAAGCCTCAAAAGACCTTTTGATTTACGTATTGTTTAATAAATGTTGATTGCTTGAAGATGACTATCAATACTGGATTGTTTAAATGAAGTGATTGAATGAGATAAACACTTACCCTTGAGAGTTAGAGATGACTATATATCACTCTATGTGAGAGATCATGCTTCTCTAAAGATAGTTGATGATTAATTTTCCTTTGTTAGTTTCTGTAACTTGAATGTTTATGTATTCTATTTTCATTTGGAGTTGTGAGCATCACATCTGGAAGAAAAGTTATTTTTATGTTGTGGTTCTGGAAGAGAAAGTGATAATAAGGGATGATTTTGTTTTGGAAAATACTTTGCTTGGGACAAGCTAGATTTTAGGTTGGGGGAGTTGTTAAGTGGTAAAAAGTTGATATAATTATGCTTTTAATTGTATGAAATCACTTAACTTGTGTCCATTATAATATATTTTTCTCCCAATGTAGGATGAAACCGAGAATACCTTGATATAAGAGTAAGGAGCATAATTGTCAACATAATTGGAGAAAATCTGAAAGGAGGAGGAAGATTTTCAGCATGGAAGTGGCTCGAGCAAGATAGACTCTCGCTTAAGCGAATATTAGTTAAAACTCTCTGGTAGTGAGTCTCTCAAGTGCCATTATTTTTGCTTGAGCGAAAAATAGTTATTCTTCTCTGGAACTCACTTGCTCAAGCAAGCACTTTGTTACTTGAGCAAAAATAGGGAACTTTCGCTTGAGCGAGTGTTGTCGCTTGAGTGAAAGACGTGAGACCCAATTTTTCCTATAAAAAGATAAGATATGTTTTGATAAAAAAAAAAGTGGTTTTGGGGAGAAGAGGCGCGACTACTGCTAGGGTTTCATCCAATCTTCATCAATTCTTCACTTCTTCCACATTTGGAGCATTGTAATGGCCATCATGAGTGGCTAACTTCATTCTCTTGGGATTGGGTGCACTTCCTTTGAACTCTTTTGTATCTTGGTGATATTTTGAGATATTAATCTATGTTTTGATGTTGTCATTCTTATATTTTATGCGTTTGAATGTTTATTCTTGATGTTTGGGATATGATTGAAAAATATATCTTGAACCCTAGATCATGGTAAGAATATTTGTTACGTTAATTTCCAGGAATGGAATGAATGTATCAATTGCTTAACACCCTAAACCTAATGTTGGAAAATCTATTAATTGTGTGCGAAATCAACATTTATTAGGTTTTCTTATGAATTTCATGTGTGAGAAATCAATATGGATGATTTGAGTAGGTGACATCAACATTGTTATAACCATTGCAAAAGAGGGATAAGGAAGGAAGTCAATCCTAAGTGCCTTTAATTGATCTTTTCCAAACAATTTATAGTTCTTTGTTATTTAATTTCAATTCAACTCGTTATAGAAAACCCACTTTGTTTTAATCCACTTGGTAAGTATATAATTAGGAATTTCCATTGAAACCGTTCCTCATGGGATTGACTTTTATTTAATCGAAATACTATACTGCGATTGATAATTTTGGTATGTTTGTCAATACTGTGGGTGAGAGGGAGAAGGGAATTTAGGTTGAAGGTGTGTGGGAGGAGGGACACGCGTTTGGTTGGAGGTGATGAGAGGAGAAGCAGATGGGTCTGGTAATGCAGTTTTCCTATAAAAAGATAAGATATGTTTTGATAAAAAAAAAAGCGGTTTTGGGGAGAAGAGGTGCAACTACTGCTAGGGTTTCATCCAATCTTCATCAATTCTTCACCTTCTTCCACATTTGGAGCATTGTAATGGCCATCATGAGTGGCTAACTTCATTATCTTGGGATTGGGTGCACTTCCTTTGAACTCTTTTGTATCTTGGTGATATTTTGAGATATTAATCTATGTTTTGATGTTGTCATTCTTATATTTTATGCGTTTGAATGTTTATTCTTGATGTTTGGGATATGATTGAAAAATATATCTTGAACCCTAGATCATGGTAAGAATATTTGTTACGTTAATTTCTAGGAATGGAATGAATGTATCAATTGCTTAACACCCTAAACCTAATGTTGGAAAATCTATTAATTGTGTGCGAAATCAACATTTATTAGGTTTTCTTATGAATTTAATGTGTGAGAAATCAACATGGATGATTTGAGTAGGTGACATCAACATTGTTATAACCATTGCAAAAGAGGGATAAGGAAAGTCAATCCTAAGTGCCTTTAATTGATATTTTCTAAATAATTTATAGTTCTTTGTTATTTAATTTCAATTCAATTCTTTATACAAAACCCACTTTGTGTTTAATCCACTTGGTAAGTATATAATTAGGAATTTCCATTGAAACCGTTCCTCATGGGATTGACTTTTATTTAATCGAAATACTATACTGCGATTGATAATTTTGGTAAGCTTGTTAATACTGTGGGTGAGAGGGAGAAGGGAATTTAGGTTGAAGGTGTGTGGGAGGAGGGACACGCGTTTGGTTGGAGGTGATGAGAGGAGAAGCAGATGGGTCTGGTTATGTAGGGAAAATGCAAGAGGGTGAGTTTGATAATGGTCATGATGGTGGTTTGGCGATTTGGGGGAGCGGCGATGTGGGCTCCTGGTGGTCGTTTGGTGGTGAGTAGCGATTGCACGGGCTCAAGGGAAGGGTTGAGGGGATGGTCGCTGTGAGAAATAAGGGAGAATGACCATTTGGGGGGGGGGGTGTCTTAGGTGACGGGATGATGGGAAGGAGCGTGAATGAGGAAAAAAAGAAAAAAAAAAATGGTGAGGGTAGTGCCCTGGAATCGCGTGGTGGCTAATAGGAGACTAAAAATTAAAAAATTATAAAATCTAAGAAAAGAGGAGGAGTTCCCCTTTTTCTGTGTCGTCCCCCCTCCATTTAAACCTAACATTAGGGTAATATATATATATATATATATATATATATATATATATATATATATATATTAAGAAATGAAAACTATTAAAATAAAGAAATTTATTATTTGTTCTTTTTTTCTTGAAAGTGTAAAATGTTAACAAGAGAAATTATATTTTTTAATCATATATTTTCTTTTTCCCTTTTTGTTTGAATTTAAAAAAAAAGTATTTAGAAAAATGGAACTACTTTTTTTTTCTTTTTTTTAATCCTTCTTTTTTCATATTTTCAAAACAAACATTACTATTTTTTATTATTATTATTATTATTATTATTATTATTTTATTTTTATCTATCCGAACAAAATTGGGTGTTGACAACCTTTTATAATTTTATAATTGCTAAAAATAAAAATGAAAATAAAAAAAATAATGTTAAAAGGATTTTTTCAATTAACCGCTTTTAACCATTTTGTGCAGCAAATGATGTTTATAATCGCTTCTATTAAATCATGAAGTTATAGCCAATCTACATCCTTCTTAATTTATAACTTCCTTGTGATACCTCTCTTGACGTCCTTGATCATTTACTTTACCATACCATCTGATACTTCGATCTTTTCTTTTTTTGAATCCTCGATCTTTCTCTATCTTTAATATTATATCTTTTGTCTTTCTATCACCTTTAATATTAAATCCTTTTGATCTCGATCCTCTTTTATCTTTAATGTTTCAATCCTTTAGTCTTCTCTTTTAACTTTAATATTTTCCTAACTCACTCTTTCCAGCTTCAATCCAAATTTATCATCATTACTTCAACCTTGCCTACCTCTTACACATTGGCTCCCCTTCCACCTGTCTAGCAAAACTCCTCCTAGCCCATGTATATACATCCTTCGCTAAGGCTGTAGATGTTTTGAGATCTTAGCGACTTGGCAAAAACTTGTCAAGACCTTTATGGTTCATCCAACTATGATTGGGGTCGATCTTCGAGTATCTATTACCTTCAGCTTCACATCCAATCCCCTTTTATCTGCTCGAGGGTATTCGACTAGCATCTCGATATCCTTGAGCAATCAGAGCCAACGACACCATTACAAAACCTATCTTAAATTTTTGTTGAATAAAAAGGATTTTGACATCCTTCTTGCTCCATTCACAAAGCTAGGGAGTGGCTCAGAGAATATTTAAGGTCGTCCTTGGGTGAATTCCAGATTCCCAACATCCACTATGGGGCTACAAGCAAAGTTAATCAAAGTCTAAAGTAATTTTCTTTCATGGAATACCCTGGTGGTTATCTTCCAATTAGAGGATGTATTTTTTTCCCTTACATTCCTTAATATTTCTCTCGTCAGTTCAGCCTCAGCCAAGCGATCCCACTTCCCTGATTTCACCGTGCCATCAACATTAATTTCATTTTTAACAAATCAAATATTAGAGAGGAGTTTTTGCGAGTTGCTCCTTGGGAAAAGCTCGAGTGCTACCCTATGCATTTTGAAGTCAACTTTTTGTGCACACTCAAGTTTTTCTCATCGTGGGATCATTGGTTTACCTTGACAAATGATTCTTTCAAGGAAATAAGAAGAGATTGACCAATCATCCTTATTTTGTGGTACAGGACAAATCAAAGGCCAAAAAAAGGTAAACATGAACTACCTCAAAATTTTAATGTTTGAGAATTTTTACCAAGAATGCTATAATCCTCTTATGCTAGAGTTGACCTTTAGGAGTCTGACCTTTTCCATTTGATACAAAAATCCATCAAAATCAAGAAATATTAAATATTCACAATCCTTTAGGAGAAACCATTTTCGAAAAATATTGTCCGATTAATTTACCTACTTTCCCATTTGCTTCTTTAGATATTTATAAACCTTTAAAATATCCAAAATGGGTTAGAGAATTGAGATCAAATCATGAAATACTTTAACCTAAACAAATAAAAAAATCTATCTCAAAACGATCTCATTACCCTTACCTTTACTTACCTGAACCTAGCCTTCCATCATGGTTAACTCACATCCAACATGTGTTTGTCTTGACTAACACACATTTTGGTGAGACTTTCTTTGGTAATCCATTTTATCTTATGTATTTATTTGCTTAAGTTTGTTCATGTTTTTTGACTTGTTACTATTTTCAGTTTCAATGTCAATAAAGATCCTTAACCCTGAGGTCAGGATAATAGAAAGTTCTAAAGCCATCGAGCTTGCACTAAAAGGCCCTCAACTCCAAAAGAAAAGAAAAATTCATAGTAACCTTCCAAGAAAGGTATAACCAATTCCTTCTATACTTTTACTTTTGTATGCCACTATTTTTTCTCTCTATAATATATATTTTCTTTCTTTTTCAAAAGAAATCCAAAATACAAGGCATCGTCTTCTGTCGCACCATCCACCATTACTATTCTTAAGGTATTTTACATTGTTATTCTTTGTCAATAAAATTTTGTTCAACAAATTATTTAATTAAATTTTGATTTCGTCTCTATAGGATTTCAACACCATTAGACTTGAATGTCTCCATCCAACCCACCACCATTGTCGATTCCAGCTTTGAGAGTGAGGAACTCCCATTCTCAAAAACTCGTCGAAGGTCTCAATCGAGCTAGGAACTTTTCTTTTCTTTTGCATTTTCTTTCTAACACCTCTAGCTTTGGTCTGCTTGTATGTATGGATACATTTTCTAAGAAATAGAACATAACATTGACAAACATTTCTAGCAACTTGGATTCATTACTCGAGGCTCCTTCTATGATCATGCCCTCTTGCTCCATCCTCTATTGAGGTACTTATTCCTTTCATTTTATTCTCTCTCTCTCTCTCTCTCTCTATATATATATATATATATATATATATATATATATCATATTATACCTTGATCTATCATTATTTTTCTATGGACTAAGTTTTATTCTATTTTTACTGGAAATCCCTTTTATACATACATTAAACTATCCGACTAATTCAATTATTGATATTGCTGCCCTTGGTAATTCTTTATTAAAATCATTTTACATCTCCAGTTTCTTCTTTAGATATACATATATTTTCTCATGTTTATTGATTGAGATGTCTATTTTATAGAATATTTAGATCAAGCAGATGTTGTTGTGCTACGGGTATCTTGATGTTGCTCCTTCTTGGAGTGTTAGTGCGCCTAGATTGCCTCCTCCCATGGTTTCTTCTATCATCTTGCTCTCGTGAACTTGGTGAATATGACCGCCTTCTCTCCCTTTGGGAATTCTCCACTTCAAGCCTTTGGATTGTCTTCCTTAAGTGTCTTTCACTTTCTTTCTAGGACAAATCCATTTCTCTAATTAATTCCACTAAAATTTGTTCTGAGCCCTTCATTTGATGCCCCCACATTGCTTGCCTTCTCTGATGAGGAATTTGATATGTCAACAAAAGAAGTTAAACTAACACAAAATACGAAAGATGAAAGGTTAAAAAGTAAACTAAGTCACTCAAGGGTTTCACTGCTCACACAAGTTTGATTGGTAGAATCACTCCACTCTTTAAGTAGAAATTTTCTAAATGTTCCAAAACTCTCTTTAAAGTCTTCAACTTTTTTTTTTTGATAAATGGAAATCAAGTGGAAATATGTATGCCAACCAATAACACTTAAGAGTTCAAAAAAAAAAAACTTTCAAAGACAAAACTTAAAGAAACCTAAGACAACAAGAAAAGAACAAAAAACAAGCATGGTATACTAAGAGTGAATTTTTTTTTTACAAAACTTTGAACAAGACTAAAGAAAGAAAAGCTAGAAAGAAATTTGAGAAACACTAAAAACATGTAATCAAAATTTTCATCCAAACACACACATAAAGAAGACTAAGGTTCCTACAATTTTAGAACTAATTTGCCAAATTTTAATCATGCAATCAAGTATTATGACAATTTCTCAGATCAAATCATATAAATGCAGAATTATTTTTTTTTTTAAGCAATAAGGTTTTGGCCAAGGTACTTTTGTGTATCTTTTTTTTTTTATTTCTTTGTTCTAACTTGATTCTAGACTTGCCAAACATTGATTAAAGTGCCTAGGAAAAATTTGATCACTTAATCCCTATGTTTAGGATCCTAAATCAATTCATCATGCATGTGTAAGAATTAATAGTTGAGTTCAAGAGGGGGGTGAATTGAACTTTGAAACCTTTTTCAAAAAACTGCTTTCTTTGTGGAAGAATGATTAATCTTAAATCAATCTTTTATTAGGAAAATTTGGTTTTTTTAACAAGGCAAGAATATAAAATAGAAATGAAACGAGAGAAATGCAGAAATACAATACTAAGAGTTTTTATAATGGTTCACTCTTACCAAGAGCTACATCCAATTCTTGACAAACCTGTCAAGTTCCACTAAAACCAAGTGAAAATACAAACCAGTAGATACAAACCAATCTACCCCAAGATCTACCTTACAACACCACAAGATAGACTCTTGAAAACCACCCAGCAACCAAACCCAGTCGTTGTAACCAGTGCAGATTCAAACCCAATCTACACAATCAAAATTCGTACAAGTATTGGAAAAGATAAACCTTGACAATAGCTTTTTGTAATACATAAGTCCAGAAGCAAATTTCCTAACACATAACTTCCTCTCTTGAAGATCTTTCAACAATCTTGATCAAAGCACCTTATGATATGAATGTGTATGAATGCTCAGAAAAACACATGAATATGAGAGCTCAAAGATTGCTTTTAATTGATTTCCAAATTGTGTATTTTAAAAGAGAAATCAAAATTGTATTTATAGATTAAAAGAGAAAAAATGACAGTTTTAATTGATTAAAATGATGTTTTAATCGATTGATTTCATTTAAAACTATTTTAATCGGTTAATTCGATCTTTTAATGGATTAAAACTGCTAGAAGGAAAAATGGTAGCTCTCTGTTTTAACAGATTAAAAATCTGAGGTACTTAAAACACGAATTATGACTTAGAACATTTTAATCTATTGATTTATCAATTTAATAGATTAATACTGCAAAACCCTTATCATAAAAAAACATCAAGAAAATTTTAATTTGTTGATTTTACGGCTTAATCAATTAAAATATCAGTTGTATATATACATTTCCTATTTTAAGTGATTTTAACATATTAAAACTTCTTTTTAACAGATTAAAAAACTCAGTTTGTTCTTTCAAAGCTTAAAGGTTGATTTTTCATTGTCGCTACCGTTATAAGAGGTAGTCGAAGCGACACGATGGTTTTGATTGACTCGCATTTTTTTAAAGAAGTGGTTCAACACCTTTAGGTTGTCCGATAACCGGGCTGGACCTAAAGGCAAGGTTTTTGAAAGGGTTCGAGAAGTCGCCACCAGTGTTTTACCTTAAACACTAAAAAAGGTAAAAAAAGAAGGCATTGGTTTTAGAAAAAACCAACTTTGGCCATTACAACCAGAGTCGGGTAAGGGAGTTAGCTACGTGTGGGGAAGGTGTTAGCACCCCACAACGCCCCTTTCGGGTTCCCTATGATGGACTAGTTTAGAAAATAAATACTTAAAGAAACTATGCTTTTACTTTATTATTTGATCTACTGGCAGAATTTAAATATCTACATGATCCTAATATCTAATACATACAAGGAAAGCAGTAAAAGGTAAGAGATATGAAGGAGAACCTTCGAAGCGAGCTTTTATAAATCTCGAACTTGAGGACACTTTTTGGCAGTCCCCGCACTCTACAGAGTCACTCCTCCCTCGAACAAAAAATAAGAGTACCACCCTATTGAGGGCCAGACATCTCAAAAGGAGACTTCCTTAATCGATTTCTACCTTAAACGAAAATCGGAAAGCTCACTCGAACTTTGGAAAAATGCTCAGAGTCACTCTAAAGTGCCAAAAAGCTTCCTAGAGAGTGTAGGAGTGGAGAGGTGTGTGAAAAATCGTGAAATGAGGCTCCTATTTATAGGGGAGCGAGCCTGGGAGGGTGGACGGTCATCTGGACATCATGGATGGCCATCCATGGCTCAAAATTAGGGTGGACGACCGTCTGGTCATCATGGACGGTCGTCCAAGGCTCAAAATCAGGGTGGATGCCCGTCTGGTCATCATGGATGGTCGTCTGGACACTATGGACGGCCGTTTGGACACTCTAGATGGCCATCTGCATGTTCTGGATGCTCTGGACATTCTGAATAGCCATTTGGACATTCTGGACAACCATCTGAACATTCTGGACAACCATCTAGACATTCTAACAAAATTTATTTTTTATTTTCTCAAAAAAAACTCCTTTTCCTAAATGAAGCTTAGTAAGCACTACTAAGGGCCTTATGAAGCCTTATTCATCTTCAGAACGGAGGATTTCTGATCTTTATTGTGAGGCTGGGCAAGATTTGGGGTCTACAGTTGCCCCCCCTTCACCTGACTAGCCGACTGTTGGCTCAATATGCCAAGAGATCGGTTGGAGGGTGAAGGAGTTAACCCTCTTGCCCGGTTGTCCTTTGGCATGGTAGTTGACCCTCGGGACCTTGAATGCAGTCTGGTGTTATCTTCAGGATGCTTCCTTGTTGTGGAGGCTGACCCTTCGGATGATGCTTGTGATTGATGGATATGAATCCCTCATCTGTTTGTTGTAGCTTTGGGATGCTCCTTTGATGCGGTAGCTGACCCCGTACCTGGAAACCTCAAGATGCTTTTTTTATGTGGTATCTGACCCCTTGGTTGATGAGTACGAACCCCCATCTGGTTGTTGTAGCCTTGGGATGCTCCTTTGGTGTGGTAGTTGATCCTGTAACTGACAAGTAGGAAACCTCAGGATGCTCCTTTGATGCAGTAGCTGACCCCTTGGTTGATGAGTACGAACCCCCATCTCGTTGTTGAAGCCTTGGGATGCTCCTTTGATGCGGTAGTTGATCCCGTAGCTGACAAGTAGGAAACCTCAGGATGCTCCTTTGATGCTGTAGCTGACCCCTTGGTTGATGAGTATGAACCCCCATCTGGTTTGTCCAAGGCCTGTCCATAGGATGTTCTCTCTGACCCCGTGGTTGGCTTGCTCACAGAGTATTCTCTCCGAATCTGTGGTTGAATTGTTCGTAAGGTGTTCTCTCCGAACTCGAGGTTTCTAAGTACCCTTAGGATGTTCTCTCTGATCCCGAGATTGAGTCCTTTTTTATGGACCCGGTTGTGCAATTTACTGATTTTGTTCATGCGCAAATATTGTTTTCAGGATACTCCTTTGCGAAGGAGTTGATCCTTTAGATGATGAATGTGGTGGCGGCTTACTGCTCTTGCTCATGCGCCAACTCCATGGAGTAGTTTCTTGGAATTGCTTTTTAATTTCTTTTGAGTATTCATCCGGTATGCCGAGGATTCTTGATTCTTGGCTTTTAGAATAGCCATCCTGCTTTGTTAATTGTCAGGGATTCTTTGATTGATAGTTGTCCAGCTTTGTTGGTCACTGTGGATTCTTTGTTCTTGGCTTCTTTGATAGCCATCTGACTTTGTTGGTCGTCGTGGATTTTGGTGAATGCCTCTTAGGTAGGCAGGAATCTATTGGGGATTTGTTGATTTTGGTGGTGCCTCTATTAAGTGGTAAAAAGTTGATATAATTATACCTTGAATTGTTATGAAACTACTTAACTTATGTTAATTCTA